CGAAGTACACAGCGCGACGTCCGAACGCGCACCCGAGGTGAGAGGTGGCGAGTATGCTGGCGTTATGGGCGCGGGAGCTGCAGCCATAAGCACAGCTTGCTGAGGCTGAGGCGGAGGCAGCGCAGAGGAAGAATTATCGCTTTCACGCTGGAAATGCAACAATGTATGATGCTTAAATTTACAAACTCGACAACTAAAGTTTGAAGAGCAATTAGATACTTGATGGCTTAAGCTAAGACAATGCACACATGCATTGTTACTCTTCACGCATTTAACCGTTCGGGCGGTGTCATTTTATTAAAGTATGCACACTTAAATAAGTGCTGGTGCACAATATTATTACACAGACACTTCTTTGAACGACTAGTAGTCGTACTTACGTATGCCTGATACTTCGGCGACGAAATATGATTACAGCGACGATTATTATCATTAGCTCGTCGACTATTTGATTAACTACTAGAGTTTGTACTAGAATCGGTGCGTTGTAGAACTTTAGAGCGGGTTTTAATAAAATTTACTAAATCATCAAAGGTAGGTATTGTCGAGCTATGATTGTATTCGAAATATCGAATGGTATCCGAGTCGAGCTTCTTTAGCGCGATATGCAGAACAATTAAGTCCGCGAGATTATCCAACTTTAAGTTTTGTAAAGCGCGCACTGCACTTATAAAGTAATCAGTAAATAAATCATAGTTATTTGCTGTGGACGATTGCAATGGCTTAAACTCGAACATCTAATTTATATACGCGGAGGCTAGCATACGCTTGTCTTCGTATTTATCAATGAGTGCTTGTGATAAAGTTTTATAATTTTCAGCGCATGGAGTAATACCTGAGCATACAGACAGAGCCTTGCCCGTCAGTTTATCTAGCAGATAGTATAACTTTTCGCGTCAGTGAGTGATGGGTTGTCATGGACGGTTGATTTAAAGCTGGCATAAAATAAATTCCACGAGCCAATGTCACCCTAAAACGTCATAAGTTCGATAGGCGGAAGTGTAAGCCTAGCCTTAGATGAGACACTAGTATTTTGTACAGTAGTAGACTGCGAATATTGTAAATAAAGCCGATTTATTCTACCGTAAAGAGACTCAAACGTAATAAGGCTGTTATAGTCAGGCTTAACGATAGGGTTTATTTTTAATAAATGCGAATTATAGTTATCTACGATCTGTTTAAATTCAATACGTAACTCATTAATATTAGAACTCTCGTCGAGAAAACGTTCCATCATAGAAGTATTCGTATGGATGTTCGAAGACATATATATTTTTTGCACTATTTCAAATATAGCATCGCGTTTAGCTAACAATAAAATCAACTCGGCGTCAGGTGTACCCTCATTATCCGAAGAATCACTATTATTCGATGCAATTTGTTTCTTAGGCGGCATTATGGCTAAAGTTATACGGCAAAATATAACTGTAAGTGATCAAAACGTATTCTATAATAAAATATGCGACTTTCCTACGAGATCGAGTTACGTATCGTTAATAATTAGTTTTATTAATGATGAACTTAAAAATGTTAATTTCAATAGAAAATTATGTGGATATTAATAACGACTATATGATTAAATATATTATATATTATATATATATATATATATATATATATATATATATATATATATATATATATATAGAATTAAATATATTTGTAAATAAGGGAAGTAAGTTAACAGTATAGTCTATAATTGTAATTAGAAGTTGATGACGTAATGTCATACAACAAAAGGGATTAAAATATAGACGAATATTCTACAATTATAGTTTTATAATAATTATATATTGATGTCACTTATAAGGGCCGATTTAACTATCCTAATAAGGGCGGAAGGTCAATCCGAGTTCGATTGACGACGCACTGTCATGTAACACAGAAGATTGAAATATAGATATTAATCTACAATTATAGTTTCTAATTAATACTGTTGTCGCTTAATAGAACCTATTTTAGTGTTCTAATAAGGGCGGGAGATATAGTGAATAGGTTCAAAGTGGCCAAACAATATATGGTCTATAATTATGGTTACTGATGTCACTTATTAGGGCATATTTAGTATCCTAACAAGAGCGGAAGGTCAATCCAGCGAGAAGTAACCAGTAAAATGGTCAATCCAGCGAAAAGGACCACACATAAAAATGGACGCGCCAGTAACATGAGTTCTTAGATAAAGATTTGTGGACTGTATTGGTACATGCAACAAGCGGAGCAAGGAAAGTGGATGAGAGTGGAATGCACGCACTAACCATGCGAGGGACTGCCTCGCCTTCCTCCTGGAGTATCAGCTAACACAGCAGGTCCGCCACGTCGGTCGGTAGTTCTAGAATTTCACACACTCCTAAACTCTGGACTTATTGTAATCGCGGAGGGCGCATCACATTCGCTAAATTAGTAGGACACAATGTCCGGTGATATTTGATATTAAAGAGGAAACCGAAGGACGCAATGTCCTTAGTGCGGTGTGCGGTCGCGGGTATTGTTCGATCATAACTAATTGCCGCTGCGTGGCACTTGCGTCGCCTTGAACGGCTATGCGTGCATATAGGAAGGATAAGGGATGGGAAGGGTTAAAGCTATGTACCAAGTATTCTATTAAATTTATAAATTAAATTATTAACTGGCGTTACCAAAATATATATATATATATATATATATATATATATATATATATATATCATATCTTTGTATAACCGTTTGATTTCAATTGAAGGTCTTTAGTAAGGTTTTTATAAATTACACTGTGAGAACTGCCTGAAGTAATGAAAGGGTTTTATAGAGATGTGTTTGAAATCCAGAATGTTTAGAAACAAATCTCTACTGCCGACGTCTAGTTTTAGAAGGGTCGTTTCGTTACAACAACAGTCATTTGAGGCACCCACAAAAGACAAAATTTAAGAATCGTAAGAAAGGATGACAAGAAGAAATTTAGACATTGCTTCTTTTTTTTCTGTGACAGCCCCAGTTACAAGTCGTTAAATTATTTGCTCCCAAACAATTTCGTAAATATAGATATTGCAAACAAATTGTTTTCTATAATAAATAAATTAAAAAATAAAATATTAATTAGGTAAATATCTTATTTTTTATTTTATGACAGCAACCCCGTGTAGTGGCGGGTAAGAATACTCACTACCCCCATCTCTTCCCGTGGGTGTCATAAACGGCGACAGAGGGAAACTGAGGCAGAGGATGGGGAGCAGCATCTCAGCAAAACAACAATTAAAAACTGCAGTTGCCAACCCGCTCGCCAAGCGTCGCAACTATGGCAATATACCCCCCATGAAAGTAACGAAGAGACGGCCCCCAGTCTCCGGCGGCCCCACGATTCCTGGCTACGGTGGCGACCATGGTAACGGCGGGGCAAGGGACGCTAAGAATCTCCGGTGGAGGTTCGGTTGCCACCTACGACGCCTCGACCTGGCAACTTATAACGCACGCACCCTGAGGACTGACGAGAAGATCCTGGAGCTGGAAGAAGAGATAGGCAAGTTGCGCTGGAATGTCATAGGATTATCCGAAGTCCGAAGAGAGGGGGAGGACACGGTAATCCTCGAATCCGGCAATTTGTTCTATCACCGGGAGGGCGACCATCTGTCCGATGGATGTTACAGATTTATCGTCCACAAGTCTCTCGTAAACAACGTTTTAAAGATTGGGAGTGTGTTGACGAGGGTTGCGTATCTTATACTCAGAATCACCAAACGGTATTCGCTGAAGGTCATACAGGTTTACGCACCAACCTCGGCACACCCCGATGAGGAGGTGGAGGAAACGTATGAGGATATCTCTAAAGAAATTCATTCCTCCAAAACCCACTATACGGTGTTAATGGGAGGCTTCAACGCAAAACTAGGCACAAGAGAGAACGTTGAGCTGAAAATAGGGAATTTCGGAATAGGGCAACGGAACCCAAGGGGCCAGCAGCTGGCCGACTTCTTGGAGAAAGAATGACTCTTTATGATGAATTCTTTCTTCCAGAAGCGGGCCCACAGGAAGTGGACCTGGTCGAGCCCCGACGGTTCGACGAAAAATGAGATTAACTTCATTATGACGACCAGGCGACAACTGTTCAATGACGTCTTAGTGATCGCTAGTGTGAAAACCAGCAGTGATCACCGGCCTATGTTCAGCAGTGAACTTGTGAAGGGCTGTAATGATGAAATCATGAATACTTAACTCTGTAATTTCACAAAACTAGCAATATTAAAAACTGTATTAACCTGTATTAATTGAGCGAACTGTAGAAATGGTATGTGTTAAGATTGAGCACCTCGTTGTTATCAGTGTGTACATACCCTCATGTATGAGGTATGATACCTTCGAAAAAATTATGTAAGTAGTTTTAATTAAGCTTAATAAACAGAATAATTTTCTTGAAATATGCGGAGACTTTAATATCAATCTTCTGGTAGCTTCTTTCAGCAGTATTAAATTTTGCTCTTTGTTCAAATCATAAAAACGTAAGTTATTCTCTGATGCTACACATATTGCAAGTTGTAGTGCAACTTGTATTGATAATATTTTTACAGACGTTGTAGCAATCAAGAAATTCAGAATTCATATCGCACCATCGGTGGAACAAGGGCACAAATGCATGTTTTGTAATTTTTCACTAGAGACATTCTAAGATTTTTGTAGAATAATATCGAGTTTGTCTGCTTAAATTGATTTTAGGTCATATATATTTTTTGAGTGAAGTAAGCTTTACACTTTTGCGAATTTAGGTAGGTACTTTACAGGAGTAAATAATTTATTATTTGTACTATAATTGAAAAAATAATATTTTTGATGTGCACTTTTGCCCTTTTTGCACCAAAATTTAAATAATTTTGTAATTATGACCTTAGTAACACATTCTTTTTAGATGATTTATGTAACAAAACAATACTCTATTTAGAAAAAGTCGTATAATTAAGTAATATTTTCTTAATCCTTACTTACAGTGTCTTATTTTACGTAATTAACAAGAAACATTTTCTTGGAATGTGTCATTAAAATAAACCATTATAAAATTGTTCATAGAATTTTGGAACAATGTTTGAAGCAATCAGTTGACGAATGTCTTCTTTTTTCCGATCGGGGATCGGCAACTTTTCAGTGTACAACACATTTAATGTAATGTCTTTCAGTTGTTTTCTATTAGCAGTCCGGCCTATTTTGACATTCGCTTTTGTCCAGACGACTGATTTATAGCTGTTTCTGAATTGGTATGTCTCTGACCTTTTTGTGAACTTTATGGCTTTCATTTCGGATAATTTGACATTATTTCTCTCAATATCTTTGTTAAGATTCAAGTTGACTTCATCAGCTAACAGCTTTAAATCAAAGAATAAATCGAAGTTCATTTCTTTGACTATAAATTTGTCGCCGCTTTTTTTTGCGTTTCTGATGAGACTTATATATTCGACTGGAGAGTATATAGGACCTGCTTTCTTTGCCCGTTTAATGTTCTTCTCAATGACGGAATGAACAGAGTCAGCTTTATTCTGAGTATGTCCTCTAATGAGGAATTTGTGAGTAATTGATTTGATGGGCAATGTATTAACAGCATAATAATACATTCCGAAAACGAATCTGAAATTAAAGTTTACATTTATGTGAAAAAAATATTGTGATTGTGACGATCAAAGTAACAAACAAGCAAGTAATTAGAGATAAACTTGTGATGCAAGATACTTACTTATTCTTCTGCTGCCCACAGCAATTATCAGAATATAAAATGATGTCTTTATCACGTTGTTTGTGACTAAGTTCTTCCAGAAACTTGTAGACGCATGTCCCTATCTCATTAGCTCCACGTTTTGCGAGACCTTCATGCCAGAAAAAGCATAATGTTGTGTCATCGTTGATATTTGAAACCTTAAACAAAAATAAATAATTAATTCAGTGCAAGAATGACGTTTGTTATAATTTTATAAATGTTAAGTTAATATTTAAAAAATAGCAACTCATACCGTGAAATTGTAGCAGTTAATCTTTGACTTATAAAAGAAAGCTGACGATTGGCCAATAGGACATGGTAAGACTGCCTGTAGGTCGAATATGGCTACTATATTATTCGAATCTATCTGTTTGCTTTGTTCTATGTCCTTTTCAAGTTCCAATCGGGCCAGACTTTTTTCCTCAAGGTGTAATTTATGCTTATCCATCAATGGTTCTTTGTCGACAGCGTTTTTGTAGGCTTCGCATTCGTCGCACTGGTCTTTACGAGGTGCAAATAAGCCTAAATTAAAATCAGTGTTGAAGATTCGATGGTAAGCGTCGTAATTGACGGCTGGTCTACCAGCTTCTTGTCTGAGTCTTTGATAACTGCGATGGAGCTCAGCTATAGTCAGACTTCCATCTATGTATTCTCTGGTTGTATTCGCCCTTAGGTAATGACTCTCCGTTCGTGGGATCGAATTTATGTGGTCATGAACTGATTGTATTTCTTCATCAGTAAGTTTACAATGTTTGCCGTGTTTTCCACGTTTATCAGTAAAACTCACACTCAAAGCATGAATAGATACACTGTCAATTACATTTCGTAAAGTTTTTTCACCAATAACCAATGTATTTAGCAAAAATGTCCGACAAACCCTAACTTCTTTTCCATCTATTATAAAGTAGAAGCTCGAGTTTGGTTTTCTTGGTTCTTTACAGGTGCTATTAACAGTGACTGTGACTCTTCGGGTTGCAGGATGAATTTGTTTGACACAGGACGCTAGAAAATCTCTTTGTCTTTGATGTGTTCCCAGTTCCCAGTAGGATTTAAAAATGATGTTCCTCTTTTCAGAAGAAACTTTAGTGGAACACGATAGTCGGCATTTGTTAGTGCAAGGAGGAAGAATAGATTTTGCTGCCACAACTTTTCCTCTCTTTGTTATATACTCTAGGCCACTGTTCTTTAAACGCTTCGATATAACTTGTTTCCACTCACTCATATTTCTTTGACGTTTTCTAGACCGTTTTCTATTCGATTCTAGGACAACATTATCCTCATTTGTGCGGAAAGTTGGTTCTGTTTCAATATTACCTTCATCATTTTCCAAATCAACCGTAATAGGCTGAGGCGACCTGGTGCTGGAACTAGAAGAGCTATTGCTGGAACTAGAAGAACTTGACAAGTTTCTAGGTTGGGAGGATCTAGTGTTGCGTTCAATCTCCCTCGCACGACTTGGAGGCTTATATTCTGAACCTTCTGATGGTGAAAAATCTCCATTATTTAAGGAATCGGAATCCTCATTACCTTAAAAACAGGAATATTAATTTAATTAGTGCACGTAAAACAATATTACTTTTTAATTGATTTAATTACCATCTTTGTACTTTATCAATTAATATAAATAATTATACTACTAGATTAATATTTGTTTTGCATTCATACCTGAGGTTTTATTTATAATGGGTGGGTTTACTCCGTCCGAAATATCCACTAACATAGGCTTCTGAATTTTATAGTCATTGCTGTCTGTGCATTTCTCAACCGTAATATCATCTGTATCCGATGCAGTTATAATGGGTGTATTTACTGTTTCTGAAGTCTCACTGTTTAACAGCATAGGATCCTGATTTTCAAAGTTATTACTATCTATCCATTTTTCAACCATTGTTCTCTTCGACGAATCTTAAAATAAATATCAATATAAATCTTTTCTGATTTTTTTTGATTAATATAAATAATCTAGGTCAGCAAAAATAATAGAATTTTCATACCCGTCGATGAATTAATGTTTGGAGTAGTTATTGCCGTATTGTGATAATTTTAATTAACACAGGTGTATTCTAAATACTCAGCAATCTGAGGCTCCTCAGTAGACTCGGTATGCCTATTGGCTTGATCATCAAGAACCATACTTAAAATTTTTCTTCCTCGTGATTCCATTATGTTCTGAAAAAATTATATTATTATCTCAATGAAAAGTTCAAAAATAATACAAAAATATAATCATAATAAACTTGACTAAGGGTTAATTAATATCATACACTACAATAAAAAAATATATAAGCAATTTGGAATGAAAAATCATAAATGTAAATAAAAAAATATATTATATGTACCTAAATACTACAAGAATTGGAATGACAAAGTCAGATTTGTATTGAAGACTACGAAATGTGCACATGTTGGACATACAAAGGCACAACTGCTTAAACGACTTTGTTCTTCCAAACATGTGCCGATATAATAGGCATAAGTACACCAAATGTGACTTTGTCTTTCCCGAACCTCAAACAAAAAAGGGCATATTTACCTTAACGGCTTTGATGGTCCAACACACAACTACACAACGCGCGGGCGACAACGCAACTGACCAATGCGATTTCGTCGCTCCAATATTTTACAAAAAACGCACCAATAAGACAAAGACACAATAGCGCTCTAGCGACATGAGACTGAACTTAATGAGCGACTTTGTTCCACCAGTTAAAGGGATGTTTTTAAAGCACATTGGCATACTTAAATCATTTTCAGATTTTTTGTTAGTTGTGCCCTTGTTCCACCGATGGTGCGATATATTAAGCTCAAATCACTGTGGACAACTGGTTTCATTGCCATATTTGCACAAAAACAGGAAATTGAGAAAATTGTGTTTGTTCCGATTAATGCAAAACACCTGGAGAGATTTCGAAGTAATATAAAGTAAAGTATAAAGTATAGTTTTAAAACGTTACCCCCACACTAGGATTTTCTCCTGTATCGTGGAGGCAGTTTACAAACACTAATTGCACAAATACAATCATCCAGACCCGGAAAAATTATTTGTAGGCCATACAAATACTTGTTCCGTGCAGGATTCGAAACCGCGGCCCCCAGCGCAGCAACTTATTGCTAAGGCACTGAGCCACGGAGCCGTAATATACTAAAAAACTTCTCATCACTTTCTTACAAGAACAATTAAGAATATTTATATGGAGTATTATTTACCTTATCAGCAATGAATTTAATAAAATATTTACTTCAAAAACATCATCCAGTAACAGATGCTTAAATGATTATGCTGATTACTCCACGCCTTAAATGAGTGGGCAACAGTAAGAATAAGAGCAGACAAAGATTATATGAATTTTACTATGAAAGATCGTATAATCTTTCCGTTACTTTTAGAGAATATGTCAAAAATTATTCTAAAGTGTTTAAAAACGTGTGCTCCACAGCCTAATCTTTATATATTTGCAATAAAATTAATACCGCTAAAAATAAAATTAAAATGACGTGGAGCAAAATTCATAGAGAAACTGGTAAAGACAAACCTTGTTACACAAATAATCAATTGAAAATTAATACTAAATTGACTAAATCAAATCAAGAAGTCTCAGCGGTGTTTTAAAAAAATATTTTACTGATATTCCTATTTTGACAACAAAGTCATTAAATACTTCTCCAACTGTTGCCGATTCATAACTCTAATTGAATGTTAATACCTGCTTAAAAGAATTTAGATTTGAAAAAGTATTACCACAAGATGTTGTAAAAAAACCGCAGGTTTATAGGGGACTCCCGTTGAAGTTAAATTGTACATAATATATTTAATTGCAACTTATCTTGCTATTATTTTTAATACTAGTATGGAATCTGGTGTGTTACCGGATTTCATGAAACATAGTAAAGTAATACCTTTATTACTTTACTATGTTATCTTGGACCCTGCTAATTTTAGACCTACTTCTATACTATCAACTATCAGTAAAATTTTTGAGAAGATAATTTTTGATCTTTTGTTGATTTTTTAGTAGAATAAGTAAATTACTCCATAAAATCAATTTGGCTTCATAAGGGGTCGCTCGACGACTTACGCAGGTGATGAGCTTATTAAATATATTTTTAATGCCTGGGAGAGTTCACAAGATGCCTTAGGTATTTTTTGTGATCTTTCGAAGGCGTTCGATTGTATTCATCATGAGATATTATCAGGAAACTAAAACATTACGGTGTCTAAAATATTGCGCTTAGACTTATTATTTCATTAACTCATAAAGTACTTACCCATTCAATATGCGTTTCTCAGGGCTCAATTCTTGGCCTATTCCTGTTACATACATACACACAGAATTATTATTTCATTTAAAGGGCAATGTATACGCTTTTGCAACAAAATCCTAGAAAATGTACAAAATTTGTCAATAAACAAGTTTAAAAGTTTTATTTAAGAAAAATTGTACAAAAAGGGTTATTATGATATCAAAACATACATAAATGAAAAAAAAACCCTTGGAAATGAGATGATCGCCACTATGGTGTTTCCATTAAAATTTATTTAAAATTTGTACAAAAAAAATAATTGTAAAATGAAATATGTTTAAAAAAGTCCATCTGAGATTTCATCCCACGCTGTTAACAACAATAGCAGCAATACTAACAATTTTGTGTAGACGTTCATTACTACAGTCTATCACAAGTACACTACTGACAATATGCCTCTATTGAATGTCTTATTTAGGGAGATATTTGTTATAGTCGTCACGCTTGGCAGGCTGAATGGCAACCGCAGTCTTTTATTATTTAAAGTTACTATCAAGATGCTGCTGTTTTAACCCTTTTTACGTTTCCCTCTGTCGCCTACGAGACTCATATAATGATATTAGAGGATTCTCTTACGTCGTCACCACAAGAAACGAGTACATAGTGTGTAAACATATTCAACTATAATTAAAAAAAGGGTATTTTTCAATTAAATAAAAAGAGTAATTATTCGGCTGAGATTAATGAATTATGACAAGGCGTGAATGTTGCTAATAGACTGTATGGTTTTAATCTGACGATGGCTTACCCTCGTCAGATTAAAACCAGACAAAAATATAAATAAATCTTGTCTCACATTTTCGTGATACGTTTGTATTAAGCATATTATACAGATTCCAATGCTTTTAAAAAATTATATTTTCTAATTTTTAAAATGAGTTATATAAACCTGGCTTCATTTTAAAGCTCAGTCGATAAAAACATTCTACAAACCGCTAAAACTTAGATTTTAAAATCCAACATGTTATAACCTCTACAAAATCTAGGAATAAACAAGCTTGATATTGAAAACCACATTCACAATTCGTTCAATAGAACTCTGCTCGATCACTCCTGGCGCTTGCCTATTATAAAGTTTATTGAGTATGACACTAGTATTTAAGGACTTAACAGTGGTTGAAATGCCTAAATCTAGGATATTTAAGTAAAAAAATCTCAATAACTGTTCATTTAATCCACAAAGAAAAAATACAGGGTAACAGAAGAAGATTTGGTAAATGTTTTTAATTTAACAAAATTGTATTTTTGTCAACCCCTTATTAGAAAAAAAAATCCCCAAAGAGTACCTATCTTTGTCATATTTTGCAAAATATCTCCAAAACGGCACAAGCTTTTTAAATAGTTCTTACACTAAAAAAAGGTCTTAAAAATATTAATATTTTTAATTGAGAGTTTTATTTTTATTACCCGTTTTATAAGAGAATATATCATTTTTCCCTGAAATTGAATATATTTACGCGAGCGCGCATGCTCCGTCGCCATGTAAGCTCTGTCACAGTCCGTTCTCGGACATCGTTGAGGGTGGACCGCACGTCGGTGTTAGAGCGACTTCGTTCAAATATATATTAGTTTTTTAAAAGTTTATACTCAATTATAAATATTTTTATGACTAGAAATACTTAATTTAGTTAATATCTGTACACTGGTAACTGTAAATATTATTTTCTAAATAAATGAATTTTTAAAGTGCCCAAAGAAGAAGAAATTTTTGCGGCGACGTTGATTAGTGAAATTGAAAAATGCATTTTTATATAATTTAGATGTGGAACGACGAACATGCTCTCGTTACTTAGATTGCGATAGTTTTTAATACCTATGTAATTTTATTGTTGCATATTTTTATTAATAAGTTGATAATGAATTTTATACTTATGTATCACAATAAAACGCTGTTTTTATAAGTATGACTTTATAAAATATTATTGGGAAAAGAAATAAAGATACAGATACTTACATTTAGGTACACTGTTATCAAATTAAATCAAACAATTTAAATGAATAAAAGAATGGTGCTTATCTAAGTATAAATAACTATATAAATACATTCTTGGGTTTATGGTTTTTTTTTGTTAGACAAACTATCATCTAAAAAATGTAAAAATTTTAAATTGGAGAGGGGTTTCTCTACGTGATAAAGTTAGAAATGAAGGTATTTGCATTAGAACCAGAGTAACTGACATAGCTCAACGGAATATTACAGTGAAATGGCAATGGGCTAGCTATATAACTTGGAAAACATATAAACAATAGGAAGAAAGGTCCTCGAGTGGCAACCTCGTACAGGTAAGTGAATTAGTACTTAACCTTTATTCCTCTTCACGTATTCTCATATGCTTTTCTTCACACATACACACACACACACACGCACACGCGCGCAAGCACGCACGTACACACACACAAATAGGTCGCAAATAATACTTACCTAGTACTATTAGGCAAGAGTGAATAGGTTTTTGTTAAGTCAGTGCAATTCACCATTTTAGACGACATAACCACTTACCGATGGGATTGTAGTTGCTTTACTACTTGCTGGGTAAAAATAGTAAAAAAAAAATTTACCCTGTGAAAGTTTGCATTTAGATATAA